TTTGTTCCAGATTTTCCTTTGCTTTTAAAGTTTCTGTTGAAAGGTTTGTTATTTATAGTGTTGTTTTTTGAAGTACATTGGCACTTATCTCTTTCAGCTTCTAAGTGTTATTCTAATGACCAATTCATTACAATGAGACAGAGAAGTAAAATTCTATTTCTTAAAATTCTTTGTTCTGTGTTTAAATAGACTGGAATTAACTAATGGAATATGTTACATACTTATTTATCCCTAATTTTTTGAATTATGTTATGAAACCAATAAACAATTTTCAATATATACTTGTATAATTTCTTATTAAGAATACAGACTTAGAGTTTGACTTGTGAATATGAGTAATTCCCCAACAATGATTAGGAATGTGACCAAATAAACGTTAATTAACAATGTGGGAGGTAATTGGTTTTGTGTTTTTTTTAATGATAGTAAAAGTGCCCCTCTCCAATCATTTCTGTGAAAATTGAATATATATTGATAGTATTTTGTACATGTATAACATTCATATATTACACTCTTGTTAAATCCTCTCATTTCTCTCTCATTCCACATCCCCTTCTAGTGTTTGGTCTAGTATTTTCAAATTGCATATTAGAAGCACAGTTTATTGGTCTCATGGAATAATTCAAAATATGAGGAATTTAATAAATCTGTAATATATGTCATTAGACTTTTCTATTTAAACCTAGAACACAGGATTAAAAATGGAATTTGTCTTCTTTCTCTCAGTGTAATTAACAGGTAGCTAAAATAACTCTTCTAAGACTAGAGGCAATAGCAATGATTAATTTGCCTCAGTCATCTGGGCCTGGAATTGGTCTACTCAGCCAGTAGCTGATTAAAGCCATCATCTGACATTTTCATGCAATTAAAAAGTTTCCTGGAAATTGGCCCGGTCAAGGAAGCTCTTGTTATAACAGAGGGCCACTTAGGGGCTCATTAAAAAGTATACAGATAATTGTATCATTAAATTATTAAGAATGTTTTAACAAGGTCTGCGAAGTACATAATTGTTTAGCTGCTTCAAAAGTCTATTCTCTCAGGAGCAAGTGATCCATCAGGACAAATGTAATAATTACTTTCACAGTGGTTTTCAAGGATGCCAGCCATGTTAGAAACTTACTGTTTCCCTTATCAATTTTACCACATGGTGTTAATAATAATTCCTGGA